CAACATAATAATTAGCGACAAAATAATTATAAAATTCATGATATTATATTTATTTGAATCTTATTCATAACTTTCATGATAAAATAACACAGCATTACATTCGAAAAATTAAAATATTGATTTTACATAATATCATATTTATATTAAAAAATATAATACTTATATTGATTTGAATATCCATATATTTATTACATGACAATAATATGTTAAATTCTCATTAATATTATGAATTTAAATCAAAATATTTTTTTCTCATATTGCATTAATGCATACATATGTATGTGACACACCCACTCCATGCTCCCTTTCTTCTCACACACACACACACACACACATATATTTACACGATCATCCATTTATATGTATACATAGATATGCGTACATATAATAACACATTTCTAATTTTGTTAATTTAATTCAGTATAAAAATAAAATTTACTTGCACCAGAAGTTGAATATTGACGCAAGAACAATACAACAAACTATAAATAGGACACAAGAGCCATAAAGATAAAAATACGCATTAGGCTCATTTTTAAGGTCTAAAACAGGTGGTGCTACTTTTTTTTTTATAATATCTTTATAAAGCCATACATTATCTTCGTCTTCTCCATTATTATCGTTTTTATTATTGGTTAAGTTTAATGTAATATGAACTAAAAGATAATTCATATTATTAATTATGTATAAATAGAGACACTATTGTTATTAATTTATCAACGTTGCTTTTTCATCTCACAAAAGAATATAAATTTAATAATGTTATTAATAAAATGAAATTTATTATTGGTGCATTAATCTTTTTCAAAAAATAATAGTTATTATTAATTCTGCTTATTAACAGTTAACGTATATATACTCATATATAATATATATGTTTATACATTATTAGTTATATTAAAAGTACATCCATGTGTGTCACAAGCTTGTATTATGCGCGCGCGCATAATACAAGCTTGTGACACACATGGATGTTACTTTTTCTCTACATAGATTTAGAATATATGTACATTTTTATATAGTTATTTTATATAGCTTTAATAAATTGTATTTATTCTTTATATATATGTATTTTTGGATATGTATTGAAAGAAAGAAAGAAAGAGAAAAGTAAAAATCAGACAATCATTAAGTTCTATTTTTAAATGAATAGTTTCAAATATAAATATAAGTATAAACTAAATAAATCTGATTTATATCAGACAAATATTGTAGAAATATTTATACAAATTATTATACAAGTTATTATACAACTTATTATCTTACCTGATATGGTTGTAATAAAGACAATAAAAATTAATGAATATAATGAGTTGAATATTTTTCTTCCGATTATCTTTATTATAGCAACAGGCATCGTGGATAATTGGTTTAGCGCGTTTCTTCCTAACTTTAATAAAAATTGAGATTGTGATTTATCGAATCTTTCCCATTCGGTTTTCATTATCAATATCACGATGTTATATGGATTAAAAAAAAAAACATTTATTTAATATAGATTTCTTTTCGTGCTTATCCAATGTCACAGATTTTAAGCAAAACAAAAAAATAAATTTCTTAACCGAAATCACTTTAAAAGAGACATTAATGATAGAATGAAAAGTATAAAAATTTATACAATATATTTTTATATTAATATATAAAAATAATAAAAAATAGTTGTGATTAAAAATGTTAAAGAAAAAATGCAATTTGGTTTTAAAATACCAGTATGTGATCATTATAATTTTTTGTATCGTCAAATTTGTTTGAACCACTACATACCGTGAAATTCGTTTGAACCGTTAGATATCGTCAATTCGATCGAAGTTTTGAAGATACAGATTCTGTGGACATTCATGCTTTATATATTTTAACATTATATTGTACATATGCAACATATATTCATATATATATATATATATATATATATATATATATATGTATACTCAAAATATAAATAAGTTTAAAATATTTGTAATCAGATTTGAAATATTTGAAAATTAATAATAATATAATCTTTTCTGCCAAATAGATCTAAAATGTTCCGAAAACAATAAAATAGTTATGTTTGCTATTGTTATTTATACTTATATTTCTTAAAATCATATTAACTATAAGAGTTTCAGAAGCTTATAGTAAAAGAATTTCTACATGCTTCCTATTACTTTTGATGAAGCTTGTATTTTTCTTTAGAATTTCTTATCAAAAGGATTAAAATCTCATAATTTTACGAACAAATATTATAAAAAGAATTTCTAACTAAGAATTTTTAATATAATGCAAATCAAGACGATAAATATACCTTTCGTGAATAACTTAGATTTTATTTTCGATTTCGATAAAGAAAATAAAAAAATATCGCGCAATATGTGTATATATGGGAATATATATTGTATATGCACAATATGATAGTGTTAAAATATATAAAGAAGTGTCTGCATAGCCTATATCTTCAGAATTTTGATCGAATTGACGTTACATAACGTTGAAACGAATTTGGCGGTACGTAATGGTTCGAATAAAAACGGTACAAAAAATTATAGCGATCACATGCTGGTAATTTTATCTTAACAAAACTTAATTATTTATTATATTATATAATTGTATTATATGAAAGCCTAAGATAATGCTCGATGTATTAAGCAAGATACTAAAATGCTAAATTGGTTTTATAATATGAATATCTTACTTTTAGCAGTATATGATCCAAGTAGTTGCCTTTCTGTTCTCTATACATACACGATACATGCGACAATGATAAACGTATAACTTCTGACAAATACAAACAAATTTTGAAAATATATCCTTGAAAGTTGATTCATTCGCCTATTCTTATTGGCTGTCAATATCACACGAATCTATTTATCTTTAGACGCTTCTAAGTCATCATATATTTTTTTTTTCAGTGAAATCTATATTATTTTGAATATTTTCTATTTTTTTCACATGCAGATTTTTCTTTAAGCAGCATTTTTGTTCGACAGTAGGTTATTTGATATAATATATTATATAAAAAATGAAACACATCTGACATCTTTTACAAACTAGAAAAATAACAAAATCAACATGATTTTTATTCTTTTTTATTTACATCTTGAGCGGATAAGTTTGGTTGAGGACACTAAATAATTTTATTACAAATAAAAATAATTTTCTAAAATAAAATTATTCGCCATTATTTCATTATTTTACTTTAAAATAAATACGCAATTGTAATATTATTATAATTTATTATTATAATTTATTTATTAACATTTGTTAACATATCTTTATTTTTTTCAACTGTGTTCTTGATTGCGTAAAAATTTAAATATTTACTCAATAATTATAAACTATATTTTGCATTTATAATATCGAATATTGGATGAATATTATTTCGTGCCGAAAATTGCAAACTTATATAGCGAGAATGTCTCTCTCGTTCGCATATATATTATATTCATCATATCTACATAAATATTTTAAAAACTTTAAGACACTGTTGATTACAATACAAACAAATGTTAATTAATGTTTTTGCATTTATCAAAAACAACATAAATGTATATTAATATAATTAATTATTTTATATTTCGATATAAAATTATATATTTGTAATACAATCTATAAATTATACTTTTTAATCTGTAGAGATAAGAAAAGAGAAATTGTTTTTGTGTATTAACAAATTATGCGAAGGATATGAATATTTCTTTTTCTATATAATAATAATACCTAATTTCAACACTATTTAAAAAAAATATAAAAAAATCTTTTCGCATGTATCAATTTTAAGTTATAACTGCAACAGAATAGAGACTAATATTTTTATATAACAATTAATTGATAAATTATATAACAATTAATTGATAAACGATTATTCTTTATGGCTAATTAATAATTAATTCTGGTATTAAATTCGGTGATATATATTTTTTGATAGAAAACATACACGCATTAATAATAATTTGTCATCATTCCAAATTTGTATTTTGTAAAATGTGGAATCGTACAATATATTACATATAAAACGATCGTCAATACAGATACAAGCAACGATATAATGTAATATTTAACCAAATTTCGCTTTTATAATACAAAAAATTATACAAAATTAACTTAAAAAAATTATATTTGTTAAATATAAAAGTCTTGCCAACATTAAAGATATGTATAAATTAATATATATTCATAATATATATATTGATTAATACAAAAGAGCAGACATTTACGATACGCATGTTTGTACGAACTATATTTTTAAATATTGTCAATATTGCTAAATTATATTGTTCGATAAAAACATACATACATTTTAATTATTTATATAATTAACTAGAATCAGATATTTTTATATAAAATCGAGAAATTACAAACGTTTTTATGTTACAATATCTGTGTTATAGTTTTTATTTATAATATTATATAATATTATAGATAAAATTTAACATAGTATATCAATACTAATTATTTTTAAATATACAATATTATGTACAATATTATAAATATTTTACAGCATTACTTAATAATTATTTTAAACCGATAATAATAATTATTAAATAGATAAAGTAAATAGAATTATTGTGTCTGTAAATTATATAAATAGTTAAATTTATGATATATAATGAATAATTGATTAATTAAATAATTATATAATTAATTAATTATATCATATTATATTTAACAAATATTAATTATATCATATTATTTGCAAATTTACACGTTGCAAATAAATTTGAAAAAAGTTTTGTTCTTTGTTAGGTAAAAACAATTTTATTATTTTTTTTAAATTTTTATATTTTGAGAAAAACAAAATTGTAATAATAATAAAAATGATTGTGTAATAAATAAAAAAAAAATAATTACTACATCGTTTGCAGTAATTAATTTTTATTTTCTTGATTTAAATTACATAAAACATTTTTAATTTATTATGTTTTTAAATCGCACAATCTGGCAGTTCTCAAAATTTATAAATATAAAAAGAATTATCGTAGTTTATGAAATTATCTTACATTATACATTTATTAAAATATGGTATATCCTATCTTAAAAACTAATCATACGCAACAACATGCGATGTGTAAACTATTTGAAGTTGAGAATAGGGTTAATAACGTACTTAGGAAATCTTGTCAATTTTATAGATATTTCACTCTTTGTAATAATGCAAAACATCAATGTTAACTTTCCGAATTAGAGTCAGCCTCTGACGACTGCAAAATTAACAATATTATTAATATTATCAAAATAATAAAATAACTTGTACATACATATATGTACGTACATGCGTTATTAGTAATAAATAAAAAAACAAATTTAGAATCATAATTATTTCTACACGGAATAAATTATTAGAAATAACATTCTTCTGCTTATCCATCTATCGATTTAAAACCTCCAAATTTGTACTTATAAGGATAGGTTTTTGCTAATGCTCTTATTGCTACTTGGAAAGATTTTGTATTATTGCTTTGCCTCATAAAATTCGAAATACTTTATGAATTTTTAATAATCTTTGATGTAATTGTGAAATGTTGATAGTATATAAACGAACATTTGCCGACGAAAATTTTCAGCATCTTTTTTAACGAAATATTTATTAATGTTATTAACGACAAATTCTACCATAAATGAAACAATAATGTTAATGTTAAAAAGAAAATGTTTTTTTAGTTTCGTTTTCTAATTATATAAATTTTTTAAAATCTGTGTATGCCAAGTTAAAATATACTTCTAAATTTCAATCATTTATTTGTAAAATATCTTGTATATTTATAATGATACTCATTTGTGTGGTTATGTTATTCTTATTTTTATGTTTTAAAAAATAGTGTATCGATTTAAGATATCTTTTCTGTTTAATTTACTTATTGTTAGTATATTTTACTTACACTTTCGAGTGAAGGGATACTTAGTTCTCCTCTCCGATACATTCTATCGGCTAGATAAAGGACAACTGGTTCATTTTGTCTAGCTGGTTTGCGGCAGAACAACCAGTTGTATAAGCTTCTTAGGCGATATTCTATATATTCCCAACTACATTTGTAAACGAAATTCGTGAACAATTAAAAAAATTGTTTGTAATAATAAAAATATTTGTAACAAATTAATCAATACTTGCAACATAACAATTAATAATTAGCAATAAAATAATTATAAAATTCCTGATATTATATTTATCTGAATCTTATTTATAACTTTTATGATAAATTAACATAGCATTACATTAGAAAAATTAAAATATTGATTTTACATAATATCATATTTATATTAATTAATAGAATACTTATATTGACTTTAACATCTATAATTATTACATGACAATAATATCCTAAATTCTTATTAATATTATGAATTTAAATCATAATATTTTTTTTCTTATACCGCATTACTGTATACATACATGTGACACACCCACTCACCCACCAACGCTTCATTCTTTCCTCATACATCTTTTACACGATGATCCATTCATATGTATACCCAGAGATGCGTACACATAATATCACATTTTTTATAATTATATTATTTTAATTAAGTATAAAAATAGAATTTACTTGCACAAAAAGTAACATAGTGTTAAACTAGTAGCAGACATTATAATTAGAATACTATAATAGCCGAATAAATAAAGGTCTATATGAGGCTCATTATTAATGTGTATGATATCAGTTGGTGCTGCTTCTGATATTATATCATTTATAGTATAATATTCCCATATGTTATCTTTGTCATCTTTTCCATTCGTATCTTTTTTATTATGAGTTGTGTGTAATGTAATATAAACTAAAAATTAATTTATATTAATAATTTAATGTATAAATTGACATGACACTATTGTTATTAATTTACCAATGTTGTTTTTTCATGTCACAAAAGATATAAATTTAATAATATTAATAAAACGATATAATTTAATAATATTAATAAAACGAACTTCATCATTGGTGCATTAATCTTTTTACAAAAAATAATTATTATTAATTTAGCTTATTAATAGTTAACGTATACATATACTCATATATATGTATATACATTATTAGTAAAAGTATATCCATGTGTGTAACAAGCTTGTATTGTATTACATATTTACATTACATTTTTATATAGTTATTTTATATAGCTTTAATACATTTTATATTTATTCTTCATACATATGTATTTTTGGATACGTATTGAAAGAAAGAAAGAAAGAAAGAAAGAGAAAAGTAAAAATCACACAATCATTAAGTTCTATTTTTTAAATGAGTAGTTTCAAATATAAATATAAGTATAAACTAAATAAATCTGATTTATATCAAACAAATATTGTAGAAATATTTATACAAATTATTATACAAGTTATTATATAACTTATTATTTTACCTGATGCGGTTGTGATAAAGACAAAATAAATAGACATAATAAAAAGCATTAGTGAACATAATGAATCGAATATTTTCCTTCCGATTATCTTTATTATAGCAACAGGCATCGCGGATATTTGGTTTAGCGCGTTTCTTCCTAAACTTTAATAACAATTGAGATTACAAGTTATCGAATCTTTTTTATTCGGTTCTTGTTACCAATATCACGATGTTATGAATTCCTAAAAAAAAAACATTTATTTAATATATATTTCTTTTCGTGCTTATCCAGTGTCACTGATTTTAAGCAAAACAAAAAAAATAAATTTCTTAACCGAAATTACTTTTAAAAGAGACATTAATGATAGAATGAAAAGTATAAAAATTTATAGAATATATCTTCATATTAATATATAAAAATAATAAAAAATAGTTGTGATTAAAAATGTTAAAGAAAAAATGCAATTTGGTTTTAAAATACCAGTATGTGATTATTATAATTTTTTGTACTATCAAATTTGTTCGAACCATTACGTACCGTGAAATTCGTTCGAATCGTTAGATACCGTCAATTCGATCGAAGTTTTGAAGATACAGACTCTGTGGACATTCATGCTTTATATATTTTAATTCTATCATATTGTAGATATGCAACATATAATATTAATTTCTTACTTGTAGCAATATATGATATCCAAGTAGTTCCTTTTCTGTTCCCTATACATATACGATACAACAACAATGATAAATGTATGACTTCTGACAAACAAATTTTAAATTTAAAAATATAAACGGTATTCTTATAAAGTTGGTTTATTTGTCTATTTTTATTGGCTGTCAATATTGTACGAATCTGTTTATCTTTAGAGGCTGATAAGTCATCTTTTTTTTCAGTGAAATCGGCTATGATTTTCAAAAATATAAATCGAAATTATTTTATATATTTTCTATTCTTCCATTATTTGTAAAGTTTTTCTTAATGACCATTTTTATTCGACTGCAGTTTAATTGAGTATAGTATATTGAAATTTATAAAATAAATTAAATCTTCTTTTACTCATCTTTTATTCTTTCTTTTAATTTTAATTTATAATAATAATAAATAATGCATAATATAACATAATATTTATATAATATTTTTCGTTAAAAATTATATAATATTTTTCGTTAAATAACAACCGTAATCATTAATTCGATTTATTATTGACAATAATATTCACAGAATAGAAAGAAATGTATATTTCTCGATCTGCATTGGTTTTTATGAGTGATTACCAGTACAACAACATAAAATTGAGGATACATAAAACATGTCGACGCATCGATCAACATTTCCGGGAGAGCCGCTTACTTCGGTGAAATTCAATTGGAAATTGCAAATGAATCCGATCTCCGCTCGCTTCACGGCCGGGCATTAGTCACCTTCTTCCGCTTGACGGTTTCTTTAGGAAGGAATACGGTGACCGTCGTGCACGTTTGCAGCCAGATGCGTACGAGACCGATGCGCGCAGTGGCTGATCGTTTATGTACGGTCTTCTTTCCCGACGATAAAATTGCGGCAAGTGTGTCCGCTCTTCTCTCGCGGCCTGTGTGGGCCGCGGCCATATATTCATCGCTGCGACTGCCATTAAACGCGTAGCTTGATACGTTGTATGATGCGACTGCTTCACACAACACAAACTCACAATGTGTCCTCAAGTGAAAGAAATTTTAATTTCTAAATACGTCCACTTAACAGTACTTCAATATATCTATATTTCAATATATCAATATTTTCTAGTCATGCATATTTCATAATATTAAGAACAATGTTATAAGTATAATTTCTAAAAGTGTTTGTCTATAAAAAAAATATTTTAACACGTCAAAAATATTTCTACATAACTTTTGAAATCAGACTTTTTTTATAACAATATACCTAGTTCAAAGATTGCTTAAAAATGGCAACATATACACGGGAATGTAGTACGCGTAAATAGCGAATGCTTTAGATGCAGACGCGTGGTATTGTATTGGTTCTTTGCCGATGATGAAATTGAGCGTATGGAACTTGCAAAGGCAAAGAGACGCGATTTAACTCGATGTTCAAGGAAGACGCGATGACCGCCTTCGTTTCACATTCGGCAAACGTACCAACCCCAAATTACCCTATTCTGTCAGGAGGCAGTCTGCCTACACTCTCTCTGATTCCGTAAAGAACTCGCTGCAGCGCGTCTCTTGAAAACGTGTTTCTAAAATTTCAGCCCGCTTTAGACCATCTATAATTTGCGATAAAATCAAGACAGAATTCTACCTATAATTTTATATGTCATGTAATACAAAAAAATATTCACAATAAGATATATACGTGTGTAAATTATGTATATATATATTTTCTTTTAATTAAGATTTAATGCGATATATGTATCTTTCAATTTATTGTAATATTTACTTTTTGTTTTACATCATATATATCGGCAAAATATCAATTTTTTCGTTAGGTGTTATTTAATTTTGAAATATTCTAAATATTTATTTATATTATTTTAAACTAGATCTCTTATCGTACTTATAAATTCTATTTCTTAATTTAAATTAAAGTATATATTTTGTAATATCTTTTTAATTTTGTCAAACTTGTTTCAGGAAACGATGCTGAAGGACTTAAATTGCGAGGAAGAAGAAGTAGGCGAACATTAACATAAAAACTAGCAGCGATAGATTCGTATGGACTTTCAGCATGATTATCTACGAGGTAAGTGTCAGATATAATGCGCGATGCGGCCAGGTGAATACACTGCGTGTTATACCTACCTACGCGCGTGCTTACTTGTCTCTCGTAGGAAGCTGCCAACTGATTTCGCCGGGCGATATAGAATATATATGCATACGCATTCACGACATACATACCTATTGTAGATGTGTATATATATACATATGCGCGAGCGCGAAGCAAGAATTTCTCAGAATGCTCGCTCGCATGCAAACGCAATCGTTCCCTCTTTCCTCTTGTGTCTTATAATACCACTTAATCGAAAGAACTGACCTCACTATTTACAAGAGCAAGACAGCCGATATGACATGCATATACAATGTTTCGACGATGTATAAAATGCCAAGTTCTTTTTTTTTATAATTTACTATCATTTTGAAGACACATACACAAATAGCATCCCAATTTTAATAAGAATAAAATAATTGTAAAGGAACAATTTTTTATATATTTTTTTATAAAAATACAGATGTGTTTCAAAATTTAAAAATGTGTAATTTTAGTCGATTTGTCATAAATTATTAGAATGATTGTTATTATTAAAAGTTATTTGATAATTATGAGCTTTATGCACATTCAACGACGTAATTGTAAAAAGCCACGATTCGTACCTGAATCTCATTAAGGTTTATATTACATAGAATGCAAAATTTGCGCTTAATTATTTAAATACACGTAACCGGACGAGGAACGAAATGGTAACACGCAATTCCGAGCGGGTAACTCTTTGTGTACTCACCATGCCGCGTGCAGCTTATTAACATCGCTCATGATCCTACCGATAGCAAGAACGTTTTCTTGGAAACCATTCTTCCCTCCTTTCGAATTTTCTCAATTATAACGCACGTACATCCGCGCAGACGTGAAGTAAAGAAATTACTCGAAGAACTAAGAATTATTCTTATTAGAAGAAGCAACATCGGGATGCTCGCTCGTTTCGCACAAATTATTGAAAATCGGCCCTCGAACCGTAATATTCTTTGCTGCAAACGGTATTTTTTTCTTCCTCAAAGAAAATTATCGCATCTCAAATATATACAGGTAGAGAGCGTTCTAGTTATGAATCTATCCAATTTGAATGTTTAATTTAATTTAGTAATTTGTTTTCCGTTTTTATGCGACGATTTCACATTCGCATGAAAGTTCTTAGGAGCAATGCAATCCATTTCGCGTTCGCGTGCAAACGCATTGCGACGTGTTAATGTTTCAATTGGTCTACATGACCGAATACGTGCCCTGTCTTCCGAAGGCGATCATTAATATGCGTAATAAGTTTCGTAGTCGGTACACAAATGCCACCCAGTATGCCTATGATGCAAATAAAAACTGAAAGTCGTTTCCTAACTGTGTCCGCGCGACATTCCAAGCACGGACAAATCGAATGACGATTGGCAGTATTTCTCCTAAGCAAGGAGCGACATGCAATATGTTGCGCATTAGCCTAATCATGAACTTCGCAATATGATTGACTTGTATATTAATCTTGAACAGAAAAGATTTTTAAGAAATGTTAATTTTTTGGAAACTGTTATCAATAATTTATTTTTAATGCTTTATCGACCATTTCTTTTTAATGCTCTACATAAAATGATGTTATATAAAATCTCATTAAATTGAATTAAATTTTTCTGCTTTATATGCAGAGTTTAACAGAACGATTATTAAAGGATTTATTAAATATCGAAGAAAGAGAGAAAATAAATAAATAAAACGATTGTAAAATTCATAAAGGGATCACGAATTATGAGAATAGACAGAAACACAATCAAACTGTCTCTTTTGATTTTATCATAAATTAAAATTGCTTAAAATCGAAATTATTTCGCAATATTATAAAAGTAAAAGAACTTAAATTATAACATTTGATTTTTTTCTTGAAGTGTATTGTACTTTTCTTTTTTTTGAAATGTATTATATAAAAAAAAGAATCCATTACTTAAACTCATGAAATGTAGAAATATTGAATATCTGAATATAAATTACAACTAAAGAGCAAAATAGACTACGGAATCGGAAGCAAACTGTATAAATAGCTATACACAATTATGTTGATTATTACAATTATAGCAATTATTTATTTTTTTCACACCGTCATTATCTGCATGAAAATTAACTGGCAGACCGCAACCTTCTATGCGGAAACGCAATGTGAGTACATGAAACAAGCATCGCAATTTACTCTTAGATGAAACGGGTTGTATGTTAGAATATTATATACGTCACAAAATCATGTAGAAAATTAATAAAGATATGGATTTCCATATCAAAGCTATAATCAATTATTAATTCGGAAATAAATTACAACTATGGGAATTAGTATATTTATAAAAAAATTGGATTAAAATTGTATATAGAGATGATTTATAAAATTACTGTCTATTGTTTCTTTCTTTTAATTTTTTATGATTTAAATATAAAATGTATAATAACACTAAAATAAAATCAAAGCAAAAAGTGAGAATCGAGATGAATATAAATGAGACTCGTATTGCTTGTGTTTCTACTCGCGAAGTTATTGTCTTGAAAATCGTACAGCTCGAAGAACTTTTGAGAAAGTTTCGGCTGCGATTTACGATCGTATGTATCAAAATGCACGTAATCTAAGAAGAAACTCAACCCGGGCTTTCGCACGTCAATAGTGCACGTAAATAAAAGCCAATTTATTTATTTATTCCGACTCACGTTTATGAATAGATTCCTTTGCGAAGAACGAGGGAAGAAACGACCTCTTGGTCGCGCGGAGCACTCTCGTTTTTTCTTCACTGGGGCTTTCTCTGCTTGGGAAAGTCTCACCGAGATCTATTCCTCCTTATATTCTAGGCGTATTTTATTTGATTTATATCTAATTTATGCAGTTTTAGCTCGTGTGATGCATACACGCCATTAATAATATATTCTATTTTATGGAATATGTGCAAGTATCGTAATTAAATATATATATGTGTTGAAAATTGAAGATTCATTCTTATAAAAGATAATTAGCGGAATTTTCTTGGACGGA